GTATCCCTGTAGAGATCCGGTATCTTTGTGAAAACACATTTTAAGTGTAATCACAACGTCCAATAAGAAAGTCAACGAGCGCGAAACCACCATGTATATTTTGATCAGATTTTTTGGTATCACAACTTGTCCAGCTTGCTTACACGGATTTGGCTGAGAAGACAGTTTGTTCCGTGTGTGTCCGCGGGCATTTACGAGAATCACGAATGAGGAAGACAGATTGTGAGAGAAAATGGAAGATCTTAGTCCATTTGTGTATTGTTGAAGAAGAGATATTCGGCCTGTGAGAGTGGAGAAAGAGCAAACAAAGTATTCGTGTACAGCGAGTCAACTGTGGATGGTAAAATGAAATCAACACGGTCATGATGATGATGAATTTCCCTTTCATAATCATCTGTCCTGTCTGTCTGTCTGTCTGTCTGTCTGTCTGTCTGTCTGTCCGTGTCAAACAAAGAAATTCACCGCGGCTCGATCGACGCAACACTATTTTTCCTTCATTTGTGTAATTTACTATTTCACAAAATCTGAGCTTTATTTTGAGCCAGACTAATGTGGATAGCAGATTCTAAATAGTATACAGTGTGGCATACAAGACTTGTTTTCAGTGATTCGGCTTCATTGGCTAATAGATCACAATTTATATAACTCGGTTAAAATACCGGAGGGCGGAGGTATTACTTACAAAAAGATGACAATAAAAAATTATTAGACTTGAAGGACCATAGATAATGTCTACTGTTTCCAGTGTGGTGTTAAGTCTGGATTTGTTGAAAACTGAGAATGGCAGGTGAAAATGGGATGGGTGGAGGCCCATGGGACACACAAAGTCTTCGCAAATCATTTTTGCGCCCACAAGGGTGGATTTTGAATGCGAATTCCTACTGCTTCCGCTTTGTCCAGGATGCAATGTTTAATCCCTTTTTTTGTTCACAAACCTGGTATGGGGGACGAAACGCTCTGGTCAAGTCAACTAAATGACCTCACTCAACAAGGTGTGAACAGATTACACTAGCGTAATTGACTCTGTCACCTCAGTGTGTGCAACCAAGCCGGGTGATGCTCACAAACTCTTTGAGCCCAGCTTCTTCTCGTGTGGCCGATGTACATTATTCTACAGGAACAAATGAAAAAGTAAACATAGAATGAGATCACAGAAACGGGAACTCTATCGTTGAGTTGCAGTCTGAGGACCGGTCTGGTACGCAAAAAACAATTTGTGAAGACATTGTGTCCCATGGCCCTCCACACACCCTATTTTCACATGCCCTTCTTGACCATCAGAAAATCCAGATAAAACACCATATCGGAAACACTAGACCCTATCTATATTCCTTCAAGTTTACAAATTTCTTTTTTCATTTTTTTGTTGGTAATATCTCCGCCATCCCGTAGTTTGACCGAGTTATATAAATTGTGATCTATTAGCCAAAGAAGACGATTCATTCGAAACCAGTCTTGCACGTTACATTGTGTCCCACTCAAACTGTAGATAGAAGAGTTGAAGATATTTGAGCCGTTGAGTATGAGCATTATCAACGGCATGCATGTGTCCTCTCAGGTGAACCGTTTCATATTTATATGCACATTTATTCCTGTGTGTGTGAGCAACAAAAAACACCAGAGAAGACGCTCACCAAAAAGTCGATCGGATCCTCCGGTCGACGTCTCACACATTCCATCAAGCCACTGGCCAACACTGGCATCACGTGTTTGCGCAAATAATTCCGTAGAGGCTCAGCCTCTTTGTTTAGAATTTCTGTCTCTTCTTGGATGTGCTTTTCTTGTTTCACCAACTGTTAGACCGTGGTCAATTTGAGCAACAGTGAAAAAGAAGAGAATTTATACTAACATGAGCTATCAATAATAATAATGATTCCATATACATTATTCAGATATATATATATATATTTCCGATATCCCCAAAACAGTCTGATTACAAAAGGCCCATGTTGATTGCTTATTTTTTTTAATGTGACGAATCCAATAAATAATTCAAAAATTTCAATTCACCAAAAGATTGATTGACTAATACCATAGAAACAATTGTCATAATATCATAGGGCGGTGGTGGCCCAGTGGTAACATCACCAAATTATCACCCCATAGGACGTGTGTTCGATTCCCACCACCACCACCACCACCACCTAACGTTCCCCATTTGTGTGTTGAATGGCAGCCCTTTGATTGGCCACTTACCTCTTCCTGAAAAATTGTATCTTTGCGCATTCAATGAAATGAAGTAAAAGAAAAAAGATAAAGAATCGGGCCTTGTGGACTATGGCTATTTTCAGGGTCTTCAAGATATCGACGCGTCGCTAAATCCAAAAAGTAACAAAGCGGAATACAGTCTGACAGATCATATTGTTTTCTAATCTGCTGAACACTATGCCACGTAAGAATGACGTAACTGGTATCCAGGCGAAGCCTCGCACACTGCTCCGGAATCGTCTCCGGTCACTCACTTCTGTCACCCAATCAAACTGCTCTAATTATGTACTTCAGTGTGTGCGTGTCTGTAGGCGTGCATATGTATGTGTGAGTTTAAGTATATATGCATGCAAGCCCGTTAGTCGTTTTTCTGTCTTTCCCACAGAAGAAAGTTTAGTTGGCTATTTCTCACACAACATATGATCCTCCCGCTGACATGTGTTCCCATCTCATTCTTCGATCCCAGTCGGAAGCTTGATCAAGAACAAGGCATCAGATCGTTTTCAAACATTTACTTTCTGTAACCTCGGAGTGTTAATCAATTAAAGCAAGAAACATCGCCGTACTGAGCGCGAACACCGGGGGGGGGGAACTTTACTTTGATGCTGCAACCGAAATTCGAAAGCCAATATCACGCTATGAAAAACTCGGACAGATTGAATAGCCAGTAGGAATGGGAAAATATCCTTAATTCGTCTCTTCTATCACCGGTTTCAAAAAGAAATCGGAGCCCCCACTCAAAATGTCTGACTCGAATAATTTCATTGCGCCTGATCTGATTTGGGTGATTGCGTGTAATGCTTCTGTACTCCAACTGGGTGTGGGTGCGTGCGTGCTTTTGTTGCTGCCTGCTTCTAGTCACAGTTTGTTTTTTATTGGAAATTACCATCAGAGAGGGACGTCTCTATATAGCAAGCAACTACACTCCCCCGTTGCTATTTTTGTATACTGATCTTTTCTGTCTTTATTAGGTACTCCAATACAAACTCTGATTTAATAGTTAACCGATGAAGTGCTAACGATGATTTGTGAGCACAATATTTTAGGACAGAACTGAATTGTGCGGTGTGCACTGTTTCCAGATGAGTGCTTACCAAAAAGGCCGGCATTTGTGAATGTCTGTTTATTTCAAAACACCCCCGAAAAAAATGGTAACAACTTTTATAAGNTTTTATAAGCAAGCAAAATGGAATGTACAGTTATAGCACCACTGCAAAGTCGCCGGTAAAGTGCTAAAAAGCGGAAAATGTTTGACCAAAATTATACATACATATTTTATTCTTTTCTTTTTCATTCTTTAAAATATTTTATTTAACATGTAAAGATGCAATTTTCGGGAAGGTGGATTTGGCCAATCAAATGACTCCCATACAACACAAAAATAGGAAGAATCCAGGCTTGCTGGTGTGGTTCGAATACACATCCTCCGGGGTGATAATTTGGTGACGTTACCACCGGGCCACAACCGCCCATGATGTAATATTATTGTATTATATATATCATATATACAGTACTGGCCGATTGTGATCACAATCACAATTTTAGTGCATCAATGAACTAAAATATTTTCTTTATGATCAAATTGAGTTTTGTTATATTTATCACTCATATGTATACTTTAAGCTTTGACAATGATTTATATCCTGTCTACTTCGATCTACGTAGTTTCTAGGCTGCATGAATATCAGTTAAACGTGCCTGACTTTGGTTGTCAAGATTAAATAATCTCAACACGAAAATTGCAAACTTTATTAAGTATGTAAATGCAATATTTTCTAATAGGAATGACTCACGAATTATCCCAAATTATTTCTATAAACCCTTGCCATCTCGGTTTTTTGTTATTGTATTTCATTTTTTTTATCCGACCTATAATCCATCATAGCAACTCTATTGAATAACCAAACGAAATTCTTTGCCAACCCGAAGAAATTGCATTAAGGTTTCANCATTAAGGTTTCATATTAATAATCTATGTTTGATATCTAACTCACCGAATTCACGAAATACCATTTTCAATAAGGTCAACTTTGAAATCAAGGTCATTTTTGTGCACAGCTTTGAATGTTCTTATTGTTGTCACCATAATGAAGCAAGCAGCGCTCGAAACCAAAAGCTCTCGATATCTCAGTGAAGAGGACATAAATGAAATTGCACTAGCACACAAACTGGGAAGTTCCATATCAGACCTTGTCCAATACTTTAACGTTAACAGAAGCACAATTTACAGGAAAATCCATGGGAAAACTACAAGTGGAGGCCGTAAACCGAGCACATCCAAACAGGAGGACGACCTGATTCGTATTACTCTGAAAAAGCATTGTAGAAAATCGTCATCTATCCAACGGGAAGATCTTTCCCGCTGTACATACTTCCTTCTGCTAAGAAGAATGAAAAAAATTAACATGCGTTTCAGGTTTCAGGTGACGTCAAGCCAGCAATGAACGCGCAGCAAAGATAGGCTTGCATTGATTTTGCCCGAGAATTCATATCTCGACGTGGGTCATTTTGGCGATCGGTTTGTTTCGCCGATGAGTGCATGAAGTGCGACGAGCCTTGGAAGGCTCACCAAAAGGTCATTTGTGGCGAGAATTTCTCAAAAGAACTTATTCCACCAAACGGAAGAGTTTCTCATTCGTCGAGATTACTCATCTGGACAAGGATAAAACATGGTCAGTCTTGTTGATGGACGTCAGTCAAACGCACCATGAATAGTGGGAAATTTGTATCAGTAATGACGAAAATGTTTCCAGAATTTCATGAAAAAAAATCGTCTGGAAAAGGTATCGTTTTTCAGGATAACGCTCCGTGTCATGTTTCACGAGAGGTTGGTAAATTTATTTAGATAAGGATTCTGGTTCACTTAATACTTGCTTTTAGACTTCAGAAAAGTTGCGTGATTCTAGGGTCCACTTCACGCAACTTCCCGCTAAAAGCCCGGATCTCAATGTGATTGGAAGTATGTTTTCTGTTTTGATGAGAGAGGTCAATGTGTTATCTGTACATTGGACATTGGAGACAAAAGTGCGTTACGTAATGGAGCATAAAATAGAAAATGACTTCATAACAAAGTTGGTGGATTGGATGCAGAAGAGACTCGAAAAAGTCCTAAAGAACAAAGGTAGAACAATCGACTGTCAGTGTACACAAACTTCACATCTTAGTTAATATTTATATTCATTTGTTGCCAATAAAAATTGTTTTATTCTCTTTATTTAGCTCTTAACTCATTACTGTCTAGGTCAACCACTACCGACGAAATGGGAGCATCCGCTACATTCGGAACCATTCCATCTGCTGAGTATAAACGAATCACGAAAATCACGGCTATAAAGACTCAACAAGGTTTGTTTATTATTACTTGGAAAAAATATTTACTTCAGTATAAATGCTGTTGCCTGTACGAACTGACAAGTGTTTCACAGGGACACGTTGCTTCAGTTTCGATTACAATTATATATATATATATAACACGAATATTTACATATACTGTGTTAAGATCACCATGGATTGGACGAGAAATACAGCAACAGAGTAAAATGTGACAACATAAAAAAATAATCCGTTTTGGATAGGGCATAACAAAGTTCTTTTTGTTTGTTTGGGGCAAGCAATTTTGAGTTTTTATTTATCCTAATATTTTTGAATCGCATACATGAGAAGGTACATTCAAGCCACAGGTTTCAGTTCGATACCTTATCCCGCTGTGTCAACCATAATCGAAATCTGTGGGGCCCCAGCCGGGAAGCCCCGACGGAAGCCAGATCCGAACACAGTTTGAGCACAGTTATTGGTCAAATTCTGAACAGACGTTTGCGGAGGCTCTGTTGTATATTAACGACAAATTACTGTCGCCAGAAATGGACCAGTGTTAGCTATTGAACCTACTCCTGGGTTTAAGATGACTACTTAGTTTGTATAATCTCGGTAATGCTAGTTCGCTTATTTCCCTCGAACCGGAGCAATGCTGCCCAGGTATCATTTTGACTGCACAAGACAGACCAGCCACGAGGAGTGAGCAGTTTTGCAGATACTGTATACACTCGTTCATCTGTATCAGAGAATAATGTTGAATACATATTTTGAAGAACAATTTCGGTTCGCAAGAGATAAAACTATCAACAAATCTTACCCATTCCTCTTGGCGTTGTTTTCGCGCTTGCAATTCCGCCTCGGTCTCGGCCCGAATGCGTTCCTCCTCGGCCCGTTCGCGTTCCATCTTTTCGGCCGCCTGTCTCCGCTCCAAGCATTCCCGCTCGTTTACGGTCAAGCCGTAGTTACGTGCGGGACCAATGAAGTGGATAATTTTTCGCAATGTGCTATCCATTTCCTGCGAGTTGGTTANGACACAAGGGTTAAAATGTGGGAGTAGTTTACACTGACGCAATTAGAATCAGCATTGCGCATTTCGTGTTCCAGGCATTCTCTAACCGTTATTTTCAACCGCCAATTGTGCCTTTACTCGGGAACCATTTTAAATTGTCTGGAAATTTTTAGACTCAACACTTGCACCCAAAGAAAGCTTTAAGGTGCATCACTGATTCATTGACTGAATAAGTTATTTGAAGAAGAAACTGTTCTGAACCGAATGCTTTCACTGTGTGTTTCTCACCATTTCGCTGACTTCTCTCAAAACCAATCAACTTTCTCAGATCCCTTGAACTTCTCTCTCACTGGGGTATTGTATATTTATCACCGGCTTACGAACAGGCATGTTGCCAATGCAACAAAAAGAATAACAGAGAACGAACAGCGGGGAGGGCAAAAAATATGGTGGATAACAAGAATAACATTTTGTATATGTTTTACCGCACACTTTATGATACTTTTTGTATGTGTTAGTTTATTATTTCTCTATACGAGGGACATGATTTCAACAGGCAGGCCACAGAGCTTTCGCCCCGCTGACTTCTATTCTGGGTTCTATCTCCGGGTGTCCCTAACCAACGATAAAACCTCAACCGTTGGGCCCCAACCTGGAAGGATGGATGCACCAACCGAAGCCCCTTCATATCATGATCTGACCACCGCGGTACTTCATCCAGCCTCACCCAGCAAGTCCATGTGTGGTTATGCGATTAAAATTATTCTAGTTGATTTCATTGTTTGCAAACATTTTGAAACCTGCGATGGGATTGCTTTGTTACGCAATGAAAACCATCACTTCTGGATTCTTCTAAGACCCACAGTGTATTCGCGTTCCATTCACAATATACGTGCAATTTGTTTCACGGGAAACAGTCTTTTTCTTGAGCATTCCATTAGTGTCGTTTCTTCGTAGTTTTGTTCCTGTCCATCTTTACATATTGCAATCAGGTTATTCACTAAAACACAGCTACATGTGAAACCTGTGCTGCCCTTTTGAAACTCTATTTATCTGCACCAGCAGCAACCACACTGTTGAAATCATTAAGAAGAAGCACCGATCGTACAAATCTAGAGACTCAGCGGCTGTCAAGTATTATACCAACCTGATAAAAGCTGAAGTCAAACGCCTTTCTGTGTCATATGCCTCCCAACTTCTGCAATGTAACAAGGCATCAAGGTATCAAATTGCTTTGTGGGACCAAAGCCAAAACTCCGGATTGTACGGCAAATTTCGATAGTGTTAACGCATCTATCTGCCCATCAAGCGATGCCGTCACGCCAATTGTTCTGGTTGATGCCATTCAAATAAAGACCATTTTAAAAGAAGGTACTTTTGAGCTTTTGCAGTTTTGGTCCCAATGGTCATTCATTTTTCCTTCTGAGATATGGGGCCTATTCTTTTGGTGAAATGTTCGTATCATTCTTGAACGCTGCCTTAAACAGCCGCTCCATACCAGACTGTTAAAAATCGGTAACAATTGTTCCCATTTCCAAATCCTCTACTTCAGATTTAACTCCTTGTCGTTCCCAATCGTGAATTAGATCCCAATATCGTGCTCCCTTTCTGTAATAAACATATCGTGAATCTACGGTATTTTATAGTTAAAAAAGAACGGTTTTTACAGACTTCGTTAGAGGTTTGAGAATATTCTCTATCCTCTTTTTCCTCCCTTTCTCCAGTTCGCAGGTTTTACGCCTACAAAAGTTCTAATTACAATTCCAATCACCAATTTTTAGCATGAAGAAATTGAAAAATTATTAATAAATCTCCATGCACACTCAAAATTTAGACTTTTTAGTCACTTTTTGCGTATTATGGTAGTATTTTAATTAACCTGACACAAACTTTTAACAGTTTTAGGCTTTTTCTCCACTACTTACATGCGAGCTTGACGAACTGGCTCCAGAAAACACTGATCGAGAACACCATTTGGGCGATGTGGTGTTTGTGACACCTTATAGATGTGCATATCACACACACACACACACAAAGAAAGTTTAAGATTCCTATGGTGGTCGCCCCTTTTGACCCAGCTTCCAGACAGGCGGAGTCTTCTACTAATCCGGTTGAGCCCAGGTGCATGCAATCTGATTGGTTGAATGCAGAAAAGGTAACTATGACTGGGGTATCACACCAAAAGCGACTGAACAGCCAAGAAGCAACTAAAACTCGATTTAGACTTTACATGCCTTTCATAATAGAATGAACTGTCTCCACCGCCGTCTTGGTTCTATCTCATTTCCCTGTAGTTCAGCTGCTCTTCCGTTCAAATCGCAGTTCATGTAACGACAATTCACCAAACCAGGCAAGTTTCAGTGCGAGTTTCCGGTTAACTTGATTTAGAACCTCACCATCATCGTTTTATTTTCTCGTTTCTTATCTTAATATTTATTGAAACTTAGTTTTTATAAGGAATAAACGGAACTAAGTTGGGCTGCGCTAAACCGAAGAGTTCGGTTGAGAGTCCTTAAGCAAATTGCCTGCTCTAGTTTCTTTGTATTTTATCAATAAACAAATCCCAGACCGGTTGCGTTTTTTTTCCAGCTGTTTTGTACACAATGAGAACATAGAATGTCTAACCCCGTCCACCTGGCCACCTAATGTTCTCCCCACGTGTTTCGTGGAACTGTTAAGCTAACTGATACAGTCTGGATGCGGAACAGTTTAAACCCCGAATCCTGAATGAAGATCCATCCTCAGATATAACGTAATCTACTTGAACTGTATAGAAAAGTGAGTAAATGATTATAACCAACCGTGTTTGTTTGTAATACGAATATCTTAAACTCGCTACGTTCTCATTTTTTTCCAATCGTGTATGTGTGTGATCCAAATTAGTGAGTAATGACAGCTGAAAAACTAAGGACTGCACAGTGTATCAGACATTAGAAGTATCCAGTTTGAATTAACATTTTAATGTCTTTCATCGGCCCGAAGCATACCATTAAGTGAATATTTGCGAACGGACAGACCATCGTCATCATCACCCGCATCGGATGTGCAATTCCGATTTCAGACAACGTCTTCATCCACCAATGATTTGTGTAGCCATTATGAACCGCATTCTTCATCTTCATATTGCACCTCAATTGACCTACGCTGTTCCGTGATCTACCAAAATGAGCTGACGGAACAAAATAACCAATAGCAGCACAGCGGTGCGCGTTGTAAGTAAATACTGACCTGCAGTACTGATCAACTCACAGTCTAAACCAAACAGATGTACCGAAACCCGGGACTTTGTTTTGTTTTATCACCGACATGATGTACTACCGCTTTTAGTTTACCCCCATTCTGATGCAAGGAAGTATATCCACATCTGCGGTGTACAAAATTTACCGGGTTTCGCACTTCTCGCATTTCAAGGTAATTCACACTATGCGGATGGCAGACTTTTGAGTAAAACATTTCATATCGTGTCAAACTGCACGTAGTTAACATATTTGGCAAGCGTCAATCAACAACTCCAACTATGATCCCACTCTTCACTTACTGGACTTTCTTCAGACATTACATCGATCGGTATTTGTAGGACCCCTTTCGAATCAAAGTAAGCTCGAACAGAATTCTCATATATGCTGGCCGAAGCAAGTGGAGTCATTTGGTTCTCGATTGGTTGTTCCGGGTCCGTCTCCATGGACAAGGTGTCGAGGACGCTCAGGCCACCGGCTGAAGCAACGGCCGGATTCACTCCAATCTGATTGGTTCGAAACTCTGTCAGACGTCGAACTAGACCGGATTCGGTGTAGTGAGTCCCGTGCACTTTTTCCTCGGGCATATGTATAACCCGATCACGTAGAAATTGATCAGACGCTTGCAGTTCAAACACAAAGTCAGGTAGAAGGCCTTTTGGAAGTTGTGAGGGAATAGGTTGTGTGGGCAATAGACCCGGTTCGCCGCAAACATCTTTCAGATCCAATCCGGAAGCGAGGTATCGACGAGCGAATTGTTCGGCCGGAGACGGACCTGTTTCTTGGGTCTGTTTACCACCACCGGTTCCTCCTCCGCCCTCGTCCATCTCGTTTCCTTCTTCCTCTTCCTCGTCATCTTCACCACCCCCACCACCACCGACTGTCGGTTGGAAAAAAGGCAACAGGGAAAAAGACAAACGAGAAAACCAAATGGTTCATAAATTCTTACGATTTAAATCTCTTGAGTATTTTGACTAACTCCATCGTCCCTGTGCATTTATTTGTGCTGTGGCCTAAAATTCACTGAATCGTTTATCATGCATGCCTGTGGCCGGATTGATTGATCGACTGATCGATGGATTCATTGACAGACGCTTCCCGCAATTACACACGCACGCACTCACACCATGCAGACTGACTCTGTTACGATATCGATCAGCTCCAGCCAATCAGTTGTTAGTATTGAACTGTCCACACTGATGGATTCACTGACTGTTTGAATACCGGCTTGACGACGTTCGGATGTCATTTGATGCTTGAGTCGTTTGTTGGTCTGCTTCTCTTTCTTCTTAGGTGTTGCCCGCACCTGCTTGCTCATCGGCCTACAGACCGGATGCGTTTACGTACCGGAAATAGAATAACTACTAAAATTACGGTTTACGTATTTCTTTGCTTCAACGGGATAAAACAATCTTAGTTTCTCAAAGTATGGTTGATATCATAGTTGGTTTCAGTATGGTTTTATCAAGAACTGATGTCATTTAAGAAATAACTCTGAACATTTGAAGACAACGAAGTAAAAGTTAAATCAATTGAAGCAACCCCTAATCCCGAGGGACACTTTCTCTCTAATCGAATCAAGTTTTACTCGACAATAGAATGCTCACGAGATCACAATCCTTAGTATTGAAATGGAAAGTAAATGTTTTAAGTGGCAATTGGTTTATGGTCTAATAGGTGTCTGGTTGATTAGTGTGGACGAAACAATCGATCCCCTACGCGTCTGATAGTAAAAACCGTGTCACGCTTTCCGTTATCACCAAGTATACATAATCTTACAAGCGGGAAATTATGCCGCTTTGGTCTCAAAAAAACACGGCAAGAGCGAATAAAGCGGGAGAATACGGACCAGGACTACTGCACCAGTTAAAGATAAAAATGTGTTAGCAATTACTAATGTTAGTTAATGATCATGGATAGAGAAATTCCCTTTCAAAGCCCCTACGGCCTTGTTGGATAATGAGCCATTGTCCTTTGTTGTATGATCAACGGTGCGGGTGTTCCTGAGAGAAGTGAAGGCTCTGGGACGGATGAGAACAAAGTGGAACCCCGGAACAAGCGGAAAAGTGTCTCACCTCGCCCACTAATGATTAAGTTTAGGCCGTCGGCCGGGATGAAAATAGCGAGTCTTTCTCGGAGGCCAAGAAATACATATGAATGTAAACGAAATGGACGTTTTGCATCCGATTGTTTTAGATAAATAGTTTGACCGATGTCATCACAATAGAAGAGTGGAAATATCTCAATAAAAAAGTTTACTGATTGCCAGGGGGGTTATTGGGGGTAAAACGACTGTAGAAAAATGCTCGAGGACCCATCCGTTCACAAATTCTTGTTGACAATTTCGATTCTATTCGAAACTCTTTGAATCTCAACTTTCCAGTTTCAATGGTTATCGATGTTTCAAAGTTTTTTCCACATAGGCCAGGGAGGAAGGTTGATCGATGTATTTTTGGTTTGGCTCTGACCGGATGTTGTCCGAGGTAGAGGAGTGTGCGACAGTCAAAGTAAAGTTGCAGCAATTAGGATTGTACAACCAGAGTGGTACCATAGATTTATGAAACCTATGTAATGTTCTCATGCGAAGACTTCTCCCTTAATGACACTCTCCTATCAAACGAAGTTCGAATTACCTTGTCTATTCCTGCGTTCAGTGTACGAAAGCAAAAAAAGTTCCGAGTGAATACCGTGTATTCATCATCTTGCGTAAACACGACAAAAGAAACATATCCTGTTCTGAACAGCAAACGAACAGAGGAATTCGCTTGCCTCAAAGCTCGTTGCTGCCTTCACTGTCTCTTTTCCTCTCTCCCTGGTCCGTTTATTTGCCCACTGGTGATACCGTTAGCACCGCCACGACATTTGGCTGTCCGTTAGCAGTAGAGTGTACGCTACAGTACTAAGGCCATTGCTACCTTATGGTGCAGAGACTTGACTGTTTCAGGGGTGGGAGGTGGCTGGGATGATGAACACAGATTGTCAATCTTTGAACACCACTGTTTACGTAGCACTGCACGAGTCTTCCAAAGTAAATCGGACAAGCAGCGCCAAGTTTAGATGCAGAATTTCAGCTATTGGCATCAACACAACAGCATGACTTCTATGGAGTTCGATGGTTGGGGCATGTAATCCACACGCCACCCGATAGACTTCCTCGATTTTTGATATTAGCCAAGGTTTGTAGCAGTTGGGATAAGGACAAGGATGATCATTAGGGCATGGGAATCCCAATTCAAGGTGTTGAGCATGAAGTTCACGTCAGACTTCCCAGCGATGCTCAGTGGTACGGCTCAGTTTCGTAGACACTAATGCTTATACAGAAAGTCAGTGTATACGCATATTTCATTCATCTGCATTCTTTATTTTAGCAAAGAACTGTAAATTCATCAGACACAGACAATTTTTATCAAGTAATCCTCATCCACCTCAGACCATCCATTCATAGAGAGAGAGAGATCTTGGCTCCCGCTCAAGCTAGACCGAAAGGGTTCGCTTCAAGCAATCTTCCCAATTTGCTTCTTCACCAGTGTTTGACCAAACAGACAGTCAAAATCAAACGGAAATCAAAGAGAAGGAACTCGAAAAGCGCAAGGCTGATGGTTGGGTTGAATGATTTCGAAAAACAACTGTTTTCCTAGCTCAAAATTAACTCCTTTCCGGTGGTTTGCTTTTCATGTGACATTCTCCTTTCGTATTTAATAATATCTCACAATCTGTTGTCAACCAATCAAATGTATTGCACGACATGATCTGGTTTCATTCAAAAGCTCATGAGTAATTGATTGACCGATATGATATATCGCAAAGAAACTGCTTCTCGTTTCCCATTTATTCCATTTATATGTTAAAACTGTGTTGCTAGAAAGGAATGAAACACTATTGTTGTTATTTTTCAATAGTACGGAGAAATACAATCATTCTCGTTGTTTTAGCGTCCACCCCGAGATATTCGGATTCACTTATCATAGTGGAATATTGATGCTACCATTTGGGGTTCTGCCATCATATCGGATTCAACAACGTGATCCCCGAAATTCATGGACGCAATATAAAATTTAGCGAATCAGTTTCAATCACCGATTCAGGTTACAGTCACATATTTAGAACGTATGAGGTCGGTCGCGAGGATACTTGAGAATAGAGTTCCACTGATGAAACAAGGGGTGTGTGTGTGCGCGCGGATCATTGATCAACCTGCCGTTCACCAATTAGACGACGGTGGTCAATTGGCGTGGGTCATCTATCACAATCACCTCAGAACCGATAGCCGATTTGGGAAATCTGATCGTATCCCCCGGGAAGATCAGTGATTGATCGCTTTTCTCTTCGGAAATTTTGCTTCTGAAATTGTCCATTCAATAAAAATCCATTGTGTGGCTTGAAGGTTCAATGTTTGTTTTTCACTACCAACTACAAGATCCGTAATTGGAGTCTCGCTCGGAACGACAAAATTGTGCGATCTCATTTGGACTATATCATGGCATGTGTTGTTCAACGGAGGAGTACCACGTCTATCAGCACTTTCGTTCGCACACTAGGATAGATGGGCCGATAAAACCTACACAGCTCGTCTGAGTTATGTTCAGGGAGGAATTTTAAAATCAAAGATTAAATTTACTTTCATTCAATTAATTTTCTTTGTTCGCGCGGGGAGGGGACGGGTATGACGATGTTTCATTCGAACAAGTTTAGCTATTATTGAAAATTCAAGATGCAACCTAAAAAGAGTGCAACATTGGTCTCAAAAGCTCCGATTAGTTTCATTCACGAATAGTTGTGACATGGATCGTGAAAAACTTACCACTGCTTTGGTAAGTTCTGCTTTTTTCTCGTTGATTTGATAGTCATGGTGTAACACTCATTCATGACATAGATGTATGCCGGTACCATATCCAGGAGGATTTCCAGCCACCACGGAACATACTCTGACTGTTACGATTTGTCCTAACCGCCATGGATCGATTACAATGGTTGCACACGATAGGCTATCACTAAACCTCATTCGCATTGTATTCGCCAGCCGACGGCTTCTGGGCAGCGAACACAGCACCGCAAGCTTTAGCACGGAAATGGGTTTTCTTTATCTTAACTCAATCACGCCCGCAAAATGTTCAATATGCATAAAGACAAGAGTCACATTCATAAAAAGCTCAGCAAATCGGCACATTTCACAATTTCTGGTCCACATTTGGCTTACATTAGGTGAGAGAACTAGCTCGGTCCTATTTGAGAGCGCGTAAATAGACAGACCCAGTCCACTATGCATTTCAACCAAGTATGAGCCAGATTTACCTGTACTATTTATTCCATGGGCTGACTTACGTGAGAACAGAGCAGATGCCTGCTTTTTGGCCTTTGGATAACCGTCAATCACGTAACCCTGATTCTGACACGGTTTCGAATTCAACTTTTGTCGGAAAANAAAAAGAGAGGGGGTGGGTGTTTGAGGTGGATTAGGAGTGAATAGATTAGACTAAAAGAAAGTGTGTTTCTTTAGAGTATCAAGCTTGGATTAACCCATTCGATTGTTCAGAGAAACCAGGCACTCTTGATAGTCTTTGATTGATTGAGCCATTCACACAAGGTGTTAGCCGTTGACCGTGTAGCTCAGGGGTAAGGGTTTGAAGTCCCAACCCGAAAGTTTGCGGTTCGAGTCCTGACAGGGACACAAAAAGTACGCACTATTGAAGAGTCCCGAACAAGACGAAACAGCTGTCCAGAGCTCTTTGTCGGTTATCACAAACATTTCCATCGCATTTGAAAGTGTATTTCTGTTTAGTGATGTTTTTGACCGATCACATATTAAAAATTTGTCCCCGGGTAAATTCTGCGACTGTTAACCACTAGAATCAAGACAGTAAAAATTAGAATAAGCGTTCCCCTGTTAACCAGATGCAGATGAAGAGGTGATTTTTAATTTGATCTAAATGACAGCAGATAAGCCCAAATCCTAATATTGAAGTTCACAGCTCTTCAGTCCAAGTCGGACCACTTCAGTCATGTGTGTATCCCAAAGGGGGTCTGAACCGATAACTGGATCACTGAATAGTTTTTTTTATTTTGTATAGGTTAAATGAAGTAAACCTCAAAATAACATGATCACAAGCAGTGAGTTCAATGTGGTTATCAACCACGTAACTGTAAAATAAGATCAGTTTACTTGTTCTCGGTTTGATTGGTCACATAAATAAGTGGGAAAATATATCTCACCTGTCGAGTGCTAACATGGATGACAGTTATCAAGAGAAATTTTAGGATATTCATAATGGTGCATCACTTCTCGAGTCACTTTTCAGCTCTTATGCATTCATTGAGGCAAACGTTCAAAAAACGGGGACATTAAGTGAGTAGAAGTGGTGTAACTACATTTCTCCACAGCATTCAACCGAGCAAACCACAAAATACCGCTGAGGAAACTACACAGTTATGAAATTCGGGGACTTGTTCCAGGTTGGATATGAGAATTTCTTTGACAACGCACCATGGCAGTTCGGGTTTCTGGGTGACTATCTGATCCTATCAGCATAACCCGAGGAGTTCCACAAGGATTCGTACTTGGCCATTGAATTTTTCTAGTTTTCATAAACGATCTGATGGGCATTCTGCAACCACAAAAGTTAGTTCACAGATGATGCAAAATATGAAAAAAAGTGACAAAACCTGGTACTTAAGAGAACGCTTAAATCTGCTTATCAATGGCCGATCGAAAACGATATCGAATTCAGTTCATCAAAATGTACGATTATATCCGTTCGCCATGAAACTCGGTTTCTGTACTTCATGGGATATTAACAATTTCCGTATGCCTTGAAGGAAAAAGATCTCGGTGTCATTGTTCAAGACGACCTAAATTGTTCTCTGAAATGCTCCAGGGCATTGTTCACAGCCGAAAGACATGTTGGTTTGCTAAAGCGAGTGTTAGGTAAATTCGAACCTATGCTGTTCCCACGTTTGTAATCAGCCAACGTTCTACCCCACATAGTTTATGACATTCAAGCGTGGAATCCATGACTGCAACGCGATAGTAAGATTCTGGTCAGTCCACAAAAAATGGCCAACAAAAAGGTAAGGGACAGAATTCTAAAACTTATCATGGAAGGCTGAAGTCATTGGGGTTTTACTAAACACAGTATTGCCTAATTCGAGTGGAATTGATTTTGTTGTACCAAATAATGCAGAACTCGGATAACCCATGTCATTCACTGTTCGCCTCGTCATCCCACACTCACGTCAGGGGCACTCATTCAAATTAGTGCTCCAAAAATGTCGACTGGAATGCCGGCGTCATTTATTTGCCCTCAGAGTATGCACTATTTGGAATTATCTGCCACTGCAAGCTGTTTCTGCGCTCACAAAGAGATTCCTTCAAACACAAACTGGATTAAACTTTGACAATTCTTAATTTCCAACATCCCTAGCAGTGCACGAAGCTAGGATAATCTGTGACATTCCTCATCTTTCTATGAACCGTGAATCGATTTACCTGCGCTAAACCCTGTGGGACAAGAAGAGCAACCGCTTGTAAGTTTTTTCTTATAATAAAACCTTGACTTTGTGTAACACCCGTCAATTGGGGGAAAAGATCACCTAACTGGGTGAGCTGAAACTTCAGTGGCTGTGCTTTAACATTTTGTTCAGCAGGTATTCTCTTCTACTGTAAGGCTTTTCATGGGCAAACTTGAATGGTCATCGCTGTTGGTTGGTTCTGAATGACCTTCAACTGCCGAAATATCCGGCAGGATTTCTGTCAGGAATATTACATAGTCACATCTTTTGTGTCCAGTAACTTCGTTTAAAAACAGCCTCAAGTTTTCAGGCTTATATGTTTCGGTTGGAGCATTTTGAAACTACCGTGCTTTGATCGGGTCATCTATTGTTAATCCGGTGTCGTATATAAATGCATATGCTCTGGGTTAGGGACTTTTGTTACTGCATTGCAGTGAACAAAATCTACTCTTTTAACTATATACAACAAAATTAAACCACACTGAGGATTCACATCCTCTGGAGGAAACACTTTATAATGATTGCTTAGATCAAACCCCGGAATGGATTGAATAGCCGACTATGGAAAATCGAGAGCGCGTGAAGGAGAGAGAGATCGCTTTTCTCTCAGCAAACTTTTTTGTTGTATATCCCCGCGATACGTACACAGGTCTTGTTTATTCTTGTCTTCCTGCTACTCTCAGAGTTCCGCTGTGTGCTCTTATTACTCCATCGGTCATTGGTAGACTCGACGGATAGACAGAAGGATATCGATCGAACCCAATGCTTTAAAATCCCGGGTTTATAGGTCTACAAGCCGAAACGGGAATTGTATTCTCGCCCAGCACACGATATTCCGGACCCCAGTTTGGAAAACAAATGATGCATAGGACATTTAGCTCCGTTTACACAATTCAATAATAATAAAGACCTTTATATAACGAGTAGCACGCTGCATGCCGAGTGAGTCGTTCAAGGCTGAAGCTCATCGCTCATACATAAGTAACCTGCCCGCAGATGGTTGCAAAACGGTGGTACAGGAAACGTACACAGTGCAGTTCTGAGTCAGTCAGTCAGTCAGTGTAATAGTTGTAGTATGCACGGATCACGAAATACGAATCACGTATCATAAACCACGAACGCCACGTAAGCACTGAACCACAGCGGCACTAACGACAGTAGTCCACGTAAGCGAGAAGCGAGAAAAAAGCCACAGGAATAGTAGTTCATTTATTGAAAGATATTTCTTTCAATAATGGGGTTTAAATAATATGTACAGAACAAGTTCATTGGTGATCCAAGCCTCTTCCAATCTCGGCTAGTATTTCTGGCGTTATACAGCTTCTGTCTGGACCGGATGGCTTCTGATTAGTCGGTACAATCGGCCTATGGTTTGTAGTCCGGAAGCTGTAAGGAGTCGGCGCTTTGCTGAAGTCACCTGGAAAGCTTGATTCATCACAGTTGTCTGAATAATGTAACGTGTCGCTCCGTGATTAGCGTTATCTCGTAAGCTAAGATTATCACAGTCAGTCAGTCAGGTGGGAGAACAGAACGTGTCTGCCATGTGATATCCGACAACTCCAAGGTGTGGCGTCTTCAGATTTTCACCACAACTGAAGTGATACTCTTGTAGAATCCAGGACCAGATCATCATGATCATGCTCGTGGTCATACCGATGATCACCGTCATCATCATCATTAAGATCGCCATCATAAATGTGTGCGAATTCCATTTCACTCAAACGTGGCAAATTCGGATGCTTAGTCATTTATTGCAGGGCCTATTTCTCCTTCCTTTTTGGTCATGAAAGATCTCTAAATCAAGCCATTACTCAGATCTCACTAACACCTAACCCTATTCGACCTGTTCAAACAGAGCTGTGAGGTAGTGAAACTAGGTATCCTATTCCCACTTTCGGGGGAGGAGGAGGGGGGGGGCGGGTCAACTCACTCAGTGACCAGGTCCAAATCGAGTCTTCCGTTGTTATCTTCCAAATTCTGTTGAATAGTTTCAAGCAGTTCGGCTGCATTGGCGGAGCCCACGTCCTCTTCCTCGTCTACGGCCGTGGCGTTTCCTCTTCCCGGCGATTCTATTTCCTCGTTTTCTGCCTCAACACGTTTTTTCTGATGGCGATTCATGTGCATAGTTGATGAGGTTTATTATCAAACAAGACTTACTAGTTGTGCGATTGCTTCCTCAATGACACCTTTGATGTGAATATGATGCAATTTGTAGTGTTCGCAAAGGCGTTTGGCCAGGGTGCTTTTACCGCTAACCGGCGGACCAAGGATACAGAGTCGAATAGGCTGAAGGATTTGGGGTTGGGCAGACGAGAGGAAGTGGGCGGACAAGTGATCGAGTGTGGAGGGATCAAATGAAAAATGAAATATTATTGTGAATGAGTGATAAACAAACATTCAAATGTATGAATTTTGATGTCTTTCGGGAGAAAAAAATTAAGTCGCGTTGTTTTCTATCTGTGTCGGACTGAGGAGATTTGTTGATTGGAAGACATCACGATCAGGGTGTAAATAGGATTTTACAGAACAGAACATGTAATCTGTAACAGTTGGTTTGTGGTGTTCTTTAGAGGGTTCTTGATCAGTGGTTCAACAGTTAGACAGTCTCTCTAAATTTTCTGTTTTTTCCTACAGTATATCCCTTAAGAAGCTCTCAGATGCCGTGATAATCCACGAACTACTTCTCCGTGTACATGTCAAACATACTACTCATTAACGCGAGTAGTACTCCATGGTACTTTTACTGCCATCATCTTTGCAGCACAATCATGAGAACAATTAGATTCCTTGTGAAAGAAACTGTGCAGAAAACGAATTGATGTGTGTGTGTGAACTAGAGAAACAAATCTGAAATTTCGGCATTAGATGTGTACACATAATGTGACCGAGTTGAACAATACTGGAATTGGTCTCAGCAATGGCGTCAAAATGTGTTGAGAAGAATAAATATGCTTGTAACTCAAGGATAATTTGCCACCTACACTGCTATTACTGTTGTGAGATACTACTCATTGGTGAGTAGTATGTAGCACAGTTGGTGATTTATTTGGACGAACGAAGTCTAAGCTCACCGAGGGCAAATTGCCGGGTCTCAAAGAATAACTATCGAATGCTATTATCATTACCCGTTGTGCTACCAGGAACTGCGATGGTATGAGATTTCTGTGTTATGTATGCCAAATTAGTGATATCCCACCTGTAATCTTCAATAGACGACTATCGTCGACCGAGCACCGCCTTTCAAAATTATAACACTACTGCTATTATTATTATTATTATTATCTTCACCGCACAGCACAACGAATGAATACAAAAACTCCATTGTAATGGAACTTTTATTTCTTTTATGACATTGAACTATTATACTTACCAATGTCCAACCAACAGAGTGAGCTCTACGCACGTCTCTGAATCAGTTGATCTTTTTGGGGTAACCACGTACGACATTATCTAAAAGACAAATGGATGCTACACACGCGTTCGTCCATCAGTTCCCATTAGTCGTTTAATCACGTGATACAACTGGTCACGATAGACATTCACCAATGCCCTTCCGGGCTGTTTTGTCCGTGAGCCAGCTTGATCTAGTTTTAGGTTATCATTTACTCGATTGGTGTATTTTCACGAACATTCATTAGATCGCTAACCCGGTTCCGATCAGATCTCTTGAGTGTTCTGATTTCGGTGTTGGGTTACGGGCCCTTAACAATACTGTGCATTAATGTCGCGATTGGAATTCGGTCTTGACACCTACAAATACGGTTAAGATCCCAAACCCATAAAGCGTTTTACTAAGGAGTGATTAAGATAATTCTGATGACTCTGGTTTCATGTTCTAGGAACATCTGCTCTGCCTTCATGCGACACTTTATGACTGTGAATCCGAAATTGTCATGAACACTTTTAATTCAAGTGTGGATTTTTCTCAGCTGGGTGAGGAGTACAGTACTGCACGGATCACGCACAGATGATAGCAAAATTACAGTCGTGGTCTACCGAGAATGCTGTTTTCTCTAACATGAATCCTCATCGGAAACAAATAGTCGACAAGGTACAACTGGTGTTGGTTTCATCTTACTGTAATTGATTTAAACGTGTCTCTCAACTATATGTGATACATTAGTTTCACTACTATTTTCCTCCTCATAGGACCTTTTGTGAACTTCCGCAAATCGATTGCGTACTATTACTGTCGAATTCAGGACAAAATGCTTCTAGTTTTCAAAAACCATCCATGTTCAAACTGTATCATTTGCAATTAATTCACAGTTACTTGTGAGTAGTGGTGTGGGATAATTGATTAACTGACTATCACTGAAGACGACACCCGAACAAACATGAATTGGCAATTTGGTTCAGCCATGGTATGTGCTGGTTGGCAAATGGGTAACGAACGCGCCTTCCATGCGATGAGTCTGGAGTTCAACTCCTGGACGGGACGGCGGATATGCACTAATGATGAACTCCAATAAGAGTAAAACTCGAGTCTAAAGCTTCCGAGTGTACCGTCGAATCGATGAATTGAAGATTGATCTACTATTTCAAACGTCCCTATGATGTCTGTCCTAGCTAATAAACTTGGTCCATCTGCACCGTAATTGAAGAATGCACAATCCCAGCTGACGGACAGAGTTCATACTATGATATTCTGACTAAACCCAGTGCCCTTCATTACACTAATAATAATAATAATAATGGTGAACAATGAAACCAATGATAACAAGAAAACAATCAGCACGAAGAACCTGAATATAATCGATTATGAAATGATTCACTATCGGAACATACAATTAATTGTCGAGCGAGTTTGAATTCCCGTAACACTTTACTGATATCTTCCGCTAGTCCATTCTCACAGTGCCATCGAAAATTGCCCTGTTCCCGGATGAAGTTGGCATCCATTCGTAGATTGATTAAAAGCTGATCAATATGACTTTGCTGTGCCAAGAAAGGGTATGGGGACAAGGTAACATGCGGGTTGTTGAATGGAACAGGAACATTAGACACGTCTGAATATGCAAGATGATTTAAGTTTTGTGACTTAATCGGTACCAACCTTCAACTCAATCATCCTGAAGTATACCATCAATCTGCAAATGAGCTTTGAGGGACAATGACCACAATGATGCTTATATGGTCAGATGGTTCAAGCCAAGGCACGATTATTGCACACAAAAGACCTTTTCGATCAGTGATGTACCACAGCAAATTGATCCTTATAGTTGACTGACGAGCCTTTTAGACCAAATCAGACATTCCCTATTTTTTAGCACTGAACCGATTTACTCAGTGAAGTAGTTACATCAAGTAAATGTGACTTTGCAATGCTCAAAATTAATTAGCACCAGTAACANATCAATGTGAAATGGAACAAAATACGGACAAGACAGGGAAAGGTATGGACTTCGTGGTGGGCGAGTGCGAAATTTTAAGGTGATCTAGGATTCACCAAAGCTTGAATCATTTGATGAGCCTATCACTCAAGCCTAGCGAAGAAAAACATCAATCAAAGAACTCCTGCCAGTACCGTTATTTCTGGAAGGGACAGCAAAAAACTGAGGAGCTATCGTTAGCGTATTTTTATTATGTTGGAAATTTTACTAACTAAGGTTATTGTTTACAGAGTGAATACATTTTTAGAGTATCCAGCCTTGGATTAGCCCATTGGGTTGTTCAGACGAACCAGGCACTCTTGATGGTCTTCACTGTGAGTTTCACTCCTTGGGAGATCGTTAATTTCCCACGAGGAAGTGCATTCAAATGCAATGGAAGTGTTTGTGATAACCGACAAAGAGCATTGGACAGCTGTTTCGTCCTGCTTGGGACTCGTCAGGGTCAAGAGTGCCTGGTGCCTCTTAACAATCGAATGAACTAATCGAAGCTTGTTACTCTAAAATTGATTGAGCCATTCACACAAGGTGTTAACCGTCAGGGGTAAGTGTTTGAAGTCCCAACCCGAAAGTTTGCGGTTCGAGTCCTGACAGGGACACAAAAAGAACGCACTATTGAAGAGTCCCGAACAAGACGAAACAGCTGTCCAGTGCTCTTTGTCGGTTATCACAAACGTTTCCATCGCAGGTGAATACATTTTTGTTCATGATTGTTACGACCTGAAGTATGTACAAAAACAGTATAAAAGTTTACAATAGCTCGATTATCACTTAATGCGTTGCTCACCGTTTTTTCTCTACCGTGATTTCTCATGGGTCTCCATACTCCGGAACTCGATTCGCGACCAACACATTAATTAAATCACTCAATAACCATTGTGACAGGATAATTAAGTAAAACCTTTTCCATCAGTAATGTACAGCATTAAATTGATCCATGTAGTCTTTTGTGGTGAGTCAGACCTCCGAGTGACGTAGGCCAGGCGCTCCGGTTTCTGGACATTGGGTCATGGATCAACAGTGTTGACCATATATTTTAAACAGAAGCCACGTAACCCAAGCATACTTCTATTTGCATATTTTTTAATCCCATTGTTTTCTTTCAATAAATTAACCACTACTTCTGTGAGCTTTGTTCTGCGTCTCGGTCACGGGAGATTGCAGCATACAAGTGCTAGTGAGATTCTGTTCTTCAGTTGCGACCGTGATTCGTGATTTGTAATCTGTACCTGCTTTGATTACTACATCCATTCCCAAACCTTTTGAACAAAATCAGACGATCCTGACTGGACTCAGTGACACGGGAAAACTACTTCCCCCATGTCACATTTTTCCAACCCAAAATACTCAGAATTGTATCAAAACGAACGCATTCTCATGAGTAACTCGATCGTGTCGTCTTTTAGAATTGCTAACAATTTTACTTTCTCAACAGCATAGCTGATCGGAAGCGATGCAATCTTATTCGAAGGGATTTATTACGAACTGGGCACTGTTTACTGTTATTTTTATCAACATCGGCGGCTCTATTCGTTCATCGATAACACTCGCTGAATACGAATCACAAGTATGCTCTCTACTCACCGTGACATCCTCCGAGAGGAACGACTCATCTCTGGTAATCGATTTTGTTTTCCCTGTTGACATTCCCTTTGAAATGGCCTGGAAATAAGCACCAAAACAAAAACACAAAATGAGGCGGTTGCATGCACATGGATGGCCAAATTTGCGACTACAACCGAACAAGGGTAGCATAATCGAAATCCTACCTTGACTATTTCGTGTAACGTGTTTTGGGATTCATCTTTTGCTAGAATATAATGCTTTGTCGGTCGAAGTTCCATCACCGTCTGTGCAATACTGTATTCGGGGTGTGAGGAGGATAGGGAAGGGGATAGGGGGGTAAAAGAGACAGGAAGAAAACAATGCGCACTGATTGCATCCGTCATAGCGTATTTGCATTCCTGTCTAATATGCATATATCCCAATCCCGCGAAACTCGACAACTCAATCATCAAAACGAACTGTGAAATATCTCCGACAAGCTCCTCATCAGATGCAATGTGAGAAATAAAATACAAGTCGCTATTCTTCAATTTATAATTTTTTGGTAAATTGAACAGTTTTTTGAATTGTGAAAAGTTCAGTTCCAACTGAAACCTGTCCCGGTAATCAGTTACCCGGTGGGTTCCACGTACCTCTGTAAGTTGATTGGTGGTGTGGCCTTGTTTCCCAGTTGTCAGAGAGTAGTGAGTGCTCTGTACAAAAAAAGCGTGTTGACCTCGGATCCCACCGGAGCTACTGATCGTTTCATAGCTGAAACGTCTGACTGGCAAATCTGGCAAATCTAACATAATTTACACGATCTCGAAAAATGACCTACTCTTAAAAGCTCGTCATCTTGCAACATTGCTCTTCCTGACATATTCAGTGATTGCCATCAGCTAAACTTTGATGTTGTATGAATTTATCACCTTATTATTCGATTCTTTTTTCTGTTCAAATTGTTGTTTGGATGGGTAAATTTGAATGTGAGATGTGATCAGTGCTATCGGATAGGCCTCGTAGTTCAGCCGGTAGAGCATGTGCGTACAAAGCGTAGACGGCGTCCATGCGTGGGTTCGAATCCCACCGAGGCTACTGAACTTTTCACAATCGACAAACAATCTTTTTTCTGTATTTGGTAGCAGAGTTGAAAATTCACCTTTTACAAGGTATTTTTGATTTGACTGGAAATGGAAGTGTGCTTGAAAACTGAGTTCTGATAACATTACGGCCTTGATTTAATAGGCCTGTTAACCTCATTCAAATCATGACTCAACCCGTTTGACAACCCTCCCCCTCAACCCCCCACGATCACCACCACGGTCTAATCAAAAGCCCGTGCGTGAAATGACCAAATTACAGTGAAACCATTGATGAGATCGGTGTCCACCGAACATTCAGAAAATATCCCGTCCTTTGTGATCAACTGTGATTATTTCTAAAATAATTATATCACAATTGGGAATGTCATCATCGGCAGCTCGAAATTGAAACTGGCAAGCATCCCAGTCAAACTGTAAGGAATTCGAGGATGGGGTATCATTTTCTTTTTCTTTCATTTCATTTTACTTCCTTTTTTATTGAATGCGCAAAGATACAATTTTTCAGGAAGAGGTAAGTGGCCAATCAAAGGGCTGCCATTCAACACACAAATGGGGAACGTTAGGTGGTGGTGGTGGTGGTGGTGGTGGGAATCGAACACACGTCCTATGGGGTGATAATTTGGTGATGTTACCACTGGGCCACCACCGCCCGGAAATACATCAATAATGTTTTTAATTTTGAAATTTCCATAATGAGTACGTATTGTTCATCCCCAGCTCTACACAGAAAACTATTTTACTCGTCACCGTTTAAAGTTTCGTATCAAGATTGCATGATCGGATTATCGCGACTGGCATTTATAAATGGATGTGTGCAATTCGCATTGCTTATAACATCAATGTAATGTAGTGGTCAAGCGACAATAGTCATCAACCGATTGTCTCGTAGTTCATTTATTTAAATCCCCTTATGACCACTTTTGTAAAGTAGGCTTCGATTTGTCACGACTGCTCCTCCCCTCTCACTTTGCGGAATGCTAATTATATAATTGTTGCAGATTGCACTGAAGAAATTTTTGGAACTGTCAATTTCCAGTAATATACTTTTCGAAGATAAGAAAATTCAACTGATTCTCTTTCAGTCTAGGACGACAAATAGATCAAATTATCGACTAGTAAATTGCGTAATCGACACAAAAGGAGATAATGTGTTAGACAGCACAGACAAGACGAACCTGGCCAGATCGTAAACGTGTATCGTGGGCACCACATTTTGACCGTCACCAGGATAGACTACTACCGGTTCATTGTTCCAAGCTTGCTGTAAGGGAGATCAAACGAAGGTGTTTATAAAATTTTCACAAACTATCTTTTTAATGAAACCCTCCGAGGAAAGAGAATCTGCCATGGTTGCCCATATTTCGATTCTTTTGATGCCCGCAACAAACAATCATTGTCGGACACCGATGAAAAAAAGAAGCGAGTTCCAGTACTTTTGTACCAGATTGATCAATTGATCATTCGAGATACCTCATCCCGGGACAAATCAAACTTTATAAGATGAATTTTTGGTGTAAATGAGGCGTGAGCTAACAAGCTGGGAAGCACTGTACAGCTGTTTCGACCTGGTTGGGTCTCATCAGCAGTGCGAATCCATCGACCGAACTGGGGATCGATCGGGTGCTTCCACTGCTTTTCGGCTCACGCCTCATTCACACGACGAAGTCGTCATATAGACAAATTAAATCCTCCATTATACTCATAAAATCAAACTTTGTTGGAATTCTTTCAGTGTTGCAACCAACCCCGATTTTTCATGACCATTCTGGTGATCAATATTTCACTCTCTATGCTAAATTGTCCAGTGTTTTTAGTCGAGTTTGAACGCAAGCAATTAATGAGTCAGCAGCTACCGATTCTGCCGATCGATAACCTGCAATTCACCTTTTGGGAATTTGCGTGAGACAAATGCTGTATGGATTTTTTCGTTCATTTTAATAAGCTTTAACACTACAAAGCTCTTTATATATATATATATATATATATATATATATATACATTGAATTCCACGGTTCACCGGATAAACCTACAGTTTGACTTTGGTTCTGTTTAACTCTAATTCTTAACAATTGTCAATTTTTAGAGCTAAATCGGAAGAAAACCTATCAGAAAACCAATCAGTTATCATAAGTGTCGGGTTATGTGACAACAGCAATAACAACAACTTTTATTTTCCTTCCAAAACGACTTCCGCATTCGGATCAAATCACAGTGGGAGGTTTAGATCTGGGAAATAAACCACAAATAGCCATTATGTTCTATGCTGATACTCGCCTAATTTCTTTCAGGTCGTTCAATGTTAGAAAGCATGATTCCTTAGGGCCTCATCACTTGGCGAATGATAGTGTTCTGATAAATACTACTAACTGCAGANCTTAGAACTCGACTACTCGGTTCAATCACCTACCATAAAATAGCTGCGCTACCTCTTTCAGAGAGGACACATCTTTGCCCTCACTCTAATCCAATCTATAAACTTCAAATTTAAACGAAGTGCTGTTTACATAAGCAGAACGGAAAGACATCTAGCTACATAACCGGGTAGCAGGCCACATCCCAGACACAGATCTACTTATTTGCATGAAATCAAATCCTTGTGAACAGAAAAAGTATAATTTTTCGATGTTGATTGTATTGTTCGCTTCCTTCAACTGTATTGCCAACTTTTGTCCACTTCGGTAGACCCATTCGAAATTAGTTGAGTTGTCCCTTTGCCCCTCATGATCTTAAACGCTCGACATTCACAAGGGAACAACCGTCTTTGTGGAAGCCCTCAGTTCAACCAATAATGGGATATTTTAGGCGCAGGTTCTGCTCGCAATCTATTGGTCTCACCGTTGGTTGTCCAATGAAGTATGGAGTCAAAGCGGTGGAGAGTGGAATAAAGCACTCCGGAAGTTCATTCTAGTACACGCAGTGATCCATGAGTGGAAAAAACGCGCTGTTCACCCCACTCAGTTACATCATCAATTGATTGTGACCATTGATCAAGCCGGTCCTGATCTCACCAACGGGGGAACTTAATACAACCTAATTGATCAAGTCTGCTGGTTAAGATTTTCATAAGTGTAAGCCTAAACAACCTTAGTCCTCTTGTAACTTCCATCTGGCTGGACAAATATCACACTTCGGGGCAGATTTTTTCAGTTGCGGGAAATACCACTCCGAAATTGTCAAAGTTCCATGCTCATTGCCGCCATTTTGAGCTTCGTTTGAGGACCCAAGTTATCATAATTTTCTATTCCTACTTCTTTCTTATTCTTTTGCTGAAAGGTGGTGTGCCACTTCTCACAGTTTCTAATGTGTCGCTCTATGACTACGAGACTTGGCATCAAATCGAAGTTGGTGATGAGGACGCAATTTCATGTGTGTACGGTCCTTTTCCTTAAACCCGAAATATACAACAACAAATCCGTTCATGTACTCTGAATCAGCTGTAGACACACGTTTCATGTCATCAGACATTGCAGGAAGAGTACGTAATAAAGAGGTAGACGATGGAAAGTGAAAACACGACAAGTAAAACGAGGATAATGATTTTTCCGATTAAAAGCATTAACCGCTGACTCCTAAACACGATCGAATGAACATTCATCGTAGCCTACATAGTGATATTGTACGGCAACAAGTCAATGTTTCATTCGTGCAAACTGAGACCAAACGGAAGCTCATACAGATTCCAGCTGCATCAGGTTGTTTCAATGTTCTTGTGGTTTGACGTACGTCTCTAGAACATAGAGAGAGCACCGGGTCTCTNTGTACTCCCCAAAAGCCTGGATCTTCACAGTGGAAAACTATCGCCGAGGTCCAAATGGAAAACAAACCCGTTTTAAATCATGGCAAGATCCCGTAAACGGTGAGCAATAAAGTGTGATGCGGAGATAATAAACAATCAAACCATACCGCAACTGCGTGCTCGAAAGCCCTATGTGACCCAAATATTACTACCCTGATGGTTCGATTGTTGGTTATCTTCCTCTTCCCACCAAGGGATTTTCCCAAATTCAATCTTATCAACAGCACTATCCACCTTTCTGTCCTTTACATTCCTCTGTCTGAGCTGATCAAAATTACCCAGACTCGTATGATGTCAGATTTGCTGACTGAAAATTCCAATCACCTCGTGTCATTGGTCTAACTGTGGTAATCCTAGCCTGCGAGATGACACATACCACGGAGCGACACGTTGCAGTTTTCGGATAACTGTGATGAATCAAGCTTCCTGGGTGACGTCAGAAATGCCCGTACGTGTCATAGCTTCTGGACTACGAACCATAGGCCGATTGTACCAACGAATAAGAGACCATGCGGATCAGACAGAAGCTGAACAACGCCAGAAATACCAGCACGCGATTGGCAGAGGCCTGGATGACCAATGAGCTTGTTTTGTATCTATTATTTAAACCCTGTGATTTCCGGTGACCCTTTCTTCGCGTTTCGGTTACCTGGAATACTGTCGTGGTAGTACCAGTGTGGTCCAGTGCTTACGTGGCGTCCGTCATTTCAAATTCGTGATTCGTATTCCATGGTCTGTGCATACTACAATTACTACACTAACCCCCCACGGATTCATTCTTTGACACGTGCCGTTTTTTGTATTACGTAATGCGTGCAAAATGTGTTGTCAGCTGGGTGAGAGCACCCAAAATTGATTACTGCAGGGACCTCATCCATATTTTTCTTCTGACACTTCTGTAATTGGATAAAGGGGGAAGACAGTTTTATAAACAAAAGAAATTTCTGTTACTGACCCATTGCCGTCAGGAAGATTGCTGTATAATTGTCGCGTTGACCTCTGGCTACTATTAATACACTCAATGGTTCTTATTTTAATCAAGGAGTGAGATAATCGAGGGGTATTATGGTACCATGATTCGTCATCAGAAGTGTCGTCTGGAACGGTATGCACAGTCTTGAAGAACTCGGTTTAACTGAGAAAATTAACCCTTATTCTATTTGATAAAATCCCCAACTATTGCATGCTCATCATCTGAGAGCACAAGTTTGTATTCTATTGAATTACTTGATTTTTACTGCTTCATCGCATGTCTTTTCATTTAAATGACATAAGAATGGTCAACTCTTCCCCCTCACACACACACACACACACGCACACAACTCATCTCCTTATCTGTGATGCTATAAATCGGGAACAAGAGTAAAAAAGTGGTACACCTACACTTGGGCGATTCATCACACTACTTAAATGCAAATCGAACCACTTGTAGCTGGGCGCCATTGACAATGATCAAGACTGCGGACAAGTGGAGATAACCTTGAACCCGTAAACTGTATCTTGACTTCCCAAACAGACAGCCTGTTACGAGCGTAATCTGTGGGAAATGGATGAGAGGAAACCGATACACAGGTCAGTTTCAGTTTATACAAAACTCTCAACCTTTCACTTTCGTTTTACTAACCATCATTTGACCGCCAAAATTTGGATAATGGAGTTGAGGGAAGAACGAGAAAGCAGGAAGAAGCAGCACGGTGAAGATAGGCGATCAAATAAACTAAGATTTCGAAGAAATTGAGTAGAAGCACGAGTTTCCCTGTTTATGATACTCAACCATATCATTCGGTCTGTCGTTAGGTATCGGTTATGCTGACCATGAGATTCCCAAACGAAGAGTCTACCACACCCTCTTGCCAGTTTTCATTCTGACAAATTTCAGCCTGCTTTCATCCACTACATCCCTCGGCAAACACAACAGGCCTAAGAAGAGTATTGGATGACATGAGTAACATTCCCTAGTCAAATTAATCCATGGAAGTCAAGCACTTTCTCCGGTATGCGACCATAACTGTCTAAAACCCAACATCAAACCTCGGCAATATTTAATCGTTTGCTCGATGAGACTCGTAGTACGCGGTGCAGGCAGTGATCAGCCGTCATGAGAGCCACAGGTTTGAAAACTGTTCACCAAGACAGGGGCTCAAGGTGATAGACAGACAGACAGACAGACAGACAGACAGACAGACAGACGGACAGACAGACAGACAGACAGACAGACAGACAGACAGACAGAGCAAACTAAAACTAGCGGCTGATTAGAAATATTGGCGGGCATGCGTGTGGTGGTCGAGAAAGTGGTTGAGAGTAAGGTAAGAACAATTCGTGGGCAATGTAATAATACCGGACGCCAGTGATAAAGCCCAAAGATGAAATTGAGAACTTATAAACAAAATTAATCACACATTGAAAACTGAAAACAAGTTATCAGAATTGCGGGCCTTTGCCTCCTGAACTCTTTATGCGTTGTCTTATGTCTCAATTTAAAATTGTCCTCATTCCTAATTGTTTTGCAAGCTGAACCGACTCACCTTGAAAAACCAATGAAAAATATTTTGCTTTTCTCCATATGTAACACCGGCTGCAATCACATAAGTCAATAGTTTTGTCTTGTCCTATAGATTCATTTAAAATTGGTCTGCGTAACTGGGACGCAAAAACAGAACTCACAGTCTTTCCCAAATACACAGTGGTTTTCTCAGCTTTCAACTGTTCCACGTAGTTACGGTGTGCTTTACGTCTAGCGTAGTCTTCGTCTGTGAAAGGCATTTCTGGATCATTCTGTAGAAATGAAAGGGAAAGGTATGGCGACAAGTCCGAAAGGAATTGCGATCAGTCGGACGCGGGTACAAAATCACCGTGATGGATTCAACTTAGTCCATGAAACGTACTTCATCGAGTGGCGAACTCTTGGCCCACGTCAACATGCTTGAGATGAGAATAAAAATCTTTTGAGTAACAAGGTTTGCCATATTCTCATGAAGTTGATCCAGTATCCACATTGCTTCATCAATCACTGTGGCATCGTCTTTGATGTTGTAAATGATATAATCACAGGCCACGATCCGTTCATACAATTCTGAACGTTTTTGCCACTGAAGAATGGTGTGCCGAGGGAGTGTGGGGGGGGGTTAAAAGATAGGTATAATTTAGATGGAGTATAGGTCTCTCGCTTCACGAATAGAAACACGCTAATTGTGATAAGAAATTTCAATAACAATATTGAAATATGCGTCAGGATACATCTTTTGGGGTGATTTTGCATAAATCATGAACTCGTTTGTTTTACTGAACATGATATCCTTGTACATTCCCATTTTCCCGTTGTCACAATGCAATTTCGTTGTTGAGCACTGCGTTCTGAGTTTATCCCAAAATGAATTATTACTGCGCGGAAAGCGATACTTGTCCGAGTTTGTAGTCCTAGTAAAAGTGGCTTCGTGGTCAAGTCGAACCAAATGGATTCCGGCAATTTGAAAAACCTCCATGTTTATATCAGTGCTCCAAAGATCGAATATTACATCGAGCGGTTCGAGATTTGGTGTATTACGCGGAAAGGGCTCGATGGAAAACCAAAAACTGCTAATTTCTTGTATGCATACTACTTACTGGAGGATTTGGCGTTTTCGAGCACTTACATCGTCGCCATATGGATCCTTGAAAACGGTGTTACGAAAACATCTAAAACTGGCCAACTTCAAAGCCACTAAACGAGCTAAATTTCGTTCGCTCACATGTGATACAAGCTTTTTAATGTATCCAGTTACGCATAATATAAATATATTTATCAGTAGTCTGTATTCCAAATGAAAATCATTCTGATCAAGGTGTACTGACATTGTTGTCATAATGAGAGGAATTATAGAAACTAAGACTCATTGACGCACTTAATCAAATGGGGTTCACTCTATTCACGAACGACTTTGCCTTGTTTGCTTCGAATAAACCGCTGGTATTGTGTCCCAATTCTTTATAGATCGATCTGAAAAATAATTAACAAGACTTAGGGAACTGGGTATTATGATTAAATATTTTCCCCTTTCCGATTCTTTGAAATTCACGGAATACCGATCCGGGTTTCTCTTTTTCTGCCCGAATTCTAACGAACTCCTTTTCCATTTGGAGATAAGCATTCTCTTTTCCCTCATTTAATGCTCTTCTGTCCCATCGGATGTGCATCAAGTGATTACAGACAGATGATACGGCGTTTAATGGATGCGGTTTTCTCCGTCCAGTACCGGTCTGTATTTCTCCGTGCCGATTCCGGTATTTTGAGGTTGTGCTACGATCGTCTTGTTTCACTAAACAGCCTTACCCTCGGACATTCCGTCTCGAACTGGACACAAATTCCACTAATGAAGGGATGGGAGGGTCTTATTGCCTACTGAACCGTTAGTTACAATTGACGTTTATCATGGTCTCCAAGTCGCAAGACTTCTTCCTATCGTGAAAGAAGCTGAAAGCTACTCTAGCTTGTTCTTCCTTTCTGTGTGTGGCTAACACAGGCATTGAACAGTTGGCTGGGTAAAACAAGCAGAACCCGAGGCTGAAAATGACTATGATCTGTGATCGAGCAAAACAGACTATGCTCTTTCTTAGTGACACTGCACTACGATTGTGATTAAGGGTGAAAGTGAAACAGACGGTTTTTAAATCCAGAATAAAGAATTACAGTGGCACAGAACCACTGTGCCACAAATGAGTTCAGTTCAGTTCTTACAACCACAAATGAATTGCCTCGCGAATTAGTAATTCGAATGAAATTAAATAATTTGTGTCTTAAAATGGCAATGAGATAAGAAAACCTACAGTATTTTGATGTAAATGTGACAGAAATTCCTATCCATGCAACGAATCGAATTCCATAGTTCGCTGCTCCCTCTCATCAAAAAAATAATGAACAGAGTATACGATGTGGTAAATTGTCTTCTTTCAATAAGTGATTATTTCTGAACATTATGCAGAACGTGTTATGCTAATGAACATTTTTGCAGTCTGGTTGCCCAATTTCAATCCAATGCATAATTTTTACAGTTAAATCCTCAGAGTAATTCAAATCCCTCTCATATAATCTACACATTCTCTCTCTCTCTTTACTGGGTGCCTTATAGTTTCAATTTGGGAAGCGGTGTGTGTGTGTGTGTGTTCGAAGGGGGCGGGGAGTGAGAGTAGAGAAACACTTCAGTGAACACTCTTTTGCATTACGGTGGGTGCATTCATTATACGACTGAGTACTGTAGAAAAGTTCGTGTGATACTATCCAGTAGATATATACTGATCACACAGAAATGAGTTTCAAATTGATTTTCCCTAAAGGCAGACGCAACACACTCGTACACTGTTTTCGGTGATAAACTGCAAAATTTTCATTTGTTTCGTAAGTAAATGTAAGCATCGAAACATTGATCGATAGCGTGCCGAAAATTGTAATGTAGGTTATATGAAAAACACGAGTAAAAGAAGAAAATCATCAGAGTTTTTAAATGTCAACATCATTGAAAATGTTTCATCTTCCCAAGGATTTCTTGCCCCGGTTCTTATCAACTGATTTGGTTGATTTCGAGTTTTCAACTCAAAGTTTGCAAAACAAAATTCACTTGATTATATACATTGGTTAAAATTTTCACATTTTCACTTCCCGTTTCGCTTTTTGACCTTTGTTAGTCTCCTTCTGATTAGGATTCGTCCAGATAACTATTTTCACCTATTAGGGACTACCCAGTAATGTGCATCACAAAAATCCAAAACAATTTATGTTTGTGAAAACAAAATAAAAAAATCTCTTGTAAGTACCCAGTCACGATTTCCTAATATTCTTTGCATTGCAGCAGTTATCTGTGAAGCATTGCCTGCAGTATTAATTCATAGATATAGGGATTATTCGTCTATATCAAGCCGTGCGACCGCGTGAAATTGTGCAGCGTATATTTTACCCTTTGCTAACGGCCAAATGTCAAACTGACTCAATAAATGACTCCGGTTTGCACGGAAAACACCAGAGATGAACTTATTTTCGGTGAAGGTATATTCAGTGGAAAGAGAACAACTCTAAAAATCGTTTGGTTTTTTATAGAAACTTTGGTCAGTTATTTTTGCTTCATAAAAACGATCAACAAGGTTGTGATAAATCAAAAACTGGGGTTGGGTTCAAAACAGAACGGCAATTGGCTTGCTGGTCTAAATATGGCTTAGGCCGCTTAATATTCACCTTTCGGTTTGTATATGGTATAAACTTTACTGATTGACTAAATGAATGATTCAAACTAGGTCTTGACTAATTTTAGCCCTGGATGGTTACTGACATTTTGGTGGCGAAACATTGGAAAATATGCGCAGCTGTTAGAAGCTTGGTCAGATAGTTGTTGAGATTATTTTGGACTTTTTTTACTTTATCGATGCTGGAGCTCATATACTTGATGGGAGTTCAAAATCTCTTTTGTTTTTTTACCGCTCGATGGTCTGTCAGCTGGGACTGATTTTATTACATCGAACGTTTGAACATTTGCCTTAACATCTCAGCTGAATATCTTGTTTTTTTTTACTCATAGTCAACTTATTAGTTTCCAAACATTTCTAATTAATGTAGTTCTAGTTTTCAAACGCTATTTAGTTTGTGATTCACTAGAAAACAAGTATTTATGCATTCAGGTTCATTCATTTCCCCGATGAGTGACGATTTGACCTGCAGACTGATGTACCAATCGTTGCAAATGTAGTGCCAAACTCACATTGAGACTGGAAACACTAAACAATCTAACCGGCATGGGAGTGATATATAATTGCACTTGTTTAGAGATCGTCACAACTTACCGGAGGCAGGAAGAAGTACAAGAAACTCGATTTGTAAAACTGTTATTAGTGAGACTATGTACGCAGATAAATGCTCGAACTGCGTGCTTGCTACTAGTACACAAATCACTGAGGAAAATGTGTCGGTTGTATGGTTTTCGGCTTTAGATGTTGTTGTGTAAGACCGTTGCCAGCATTTATTAGTCTTCAAAATATTTTTATATTGTCGCCATTAACGGTATTCAGTGTAAAGGACTGTTGCTTTCTGATGAAGATGAGAGATCTTTTCATGCAAGTAATAGAGGATTTGATTCAATTTTAAAGTAGAAATTTGTCGTGTATATGGCAAACGAACTGTGATTTGAATGCCTAGGAAGCTCTGTGCAGCTGTTTCGACCTGGTTGGGTCTAATTAGTAGTGCGAATCCATTGACCCAACTGAGTGGGGCCCAAACCCTTATCATCCACACGTGTAGGTTTTGGAGTTGAAACCATTTTCTTGGCAATGTTATTCCGTTGTTTTATATGTGAGTTTAAAACAGTTGTCCTTTTTCATTTTGAAATGCGTGATCAAGAATACCACTACTACTACTAGCTTAGTGGAAGGAGAAAACAAGATTGCAATTGGTGGGTGTATTGCTGATTAAATCGGGGAGGGTCTTTAACAAGTGTGTAACATCAACATCTTTACCACCATTAAAATTCATGGTATATAAGGTTGAAATGGGTAAAATTTGTCGCTACGTATAAATATATATTCGGAATTAGAATTATGTTTACGTACACCGAGCCAGTTTGTTTACAAGGTGCACTGCAGGAGGACAGTAATTGACCTTTCAGGTAAGCCACAAATCACATGGAGGTGTGTACAAAGAGGTAGCTGTGAGACTTGGTATAAAGAAGGAATAAAATTCACTGTTAAACATAAATGACCAATTTGGGGAATAGACCTGACGAGTGGTTTACAAAAAACGATTAAGACCTATTACTGCTACCACCAGTAGTATCTTTGGCTAATAGAAATATACCATTTAAAGAATCTCCTGAAGTTGAATATGATCAATGTTTTTTACCAACAAATGGTAAAGGAGTATCAAAAAAGCGCAATAGTAGTAGGTAACTTGTATCTCATTAGTTAGAGTGCATTCCGAGTGGGTTATCCCGTTGATTTTCTTTAGTAAAAACTGAAGCCCGGGATAGATTATTGATGTTCTGAGTTTTTTAGTTAATGCACCAAATAGAAATAATTGGCCGTGAAATAATTCAGATGTATGCATAACTAATTTTATGTATATCACAAAGATCTCCATTTTTGCTTAGCATCACAGTCCCCGGGGACTTACGGTGGGATACCAGGTTAATGGGCTAGCGTCCCCCCTCCAATTGTTTCAAAAGAGAATACCTCTTGGGTATTCCCAGTGATGCACTCAGGGGACTGCTGGGAGGATATTCGTACTGCTTTGGCATTTACATGAGGGTTTTATCATTTTCTTTCCTATTTAACGGGAACTGTGTATTTTAAAAAGTGCGCGGCCAAGTTGATGTCAGCACCGAAAAACATTAAATGCGTTAATTGCTGATCTATTAGGTTCTCTGTCAGGCTGTATAGTCAGAGCAGATGTCGGGATTCTTATCGGATAAAATTCACTAAACATAGCGACTCAGTTTTGCGCTGACTCCCGATTGTCAAAATAGTTTGAATGCGAACATGAAGGACGCTTGGGGTATTGCTCAGAACATTTTGTGGTAACTTTACCGATCAGCCTAGGCGGGATACATAAGGGATGGCATTTTTCCAGTAGCAACACTGGTAAATATGCAAATAAAATCCATCAAAAATAGAAGGCTTTGATGGATATAAAATGGCTTTTGCAAATGTTTTTAGTGTGGTATAATAAATTCATCAATGCCATTTCAGCTTCGGAATTGCATCCAGTATGATAGTTCAATTCCGAGTAACCAGAAGGGGTCTGCACTTTTGCTATCTTCTGCACATTCCTGTTCTATACTTATATGGTTACTATCTACTATCTACTAGAGTAAGTTAAATCAGAAACCTTTCTTGGTAGACAAAAACATACATACATACAAAGTGAACGATTACGTGAAAATTGTGAAGATGATCCGAATGCTACACGTCTATCTTGGTATACGCTTCTAAATTTCGTAAATCATAGATTTTACTTACATGCAACAAGGAAATGTTTTTGTTTTATTACAGAGTATAATGAAGAGGGACAGGAGCAATGTTATTTACAAAAGTAATGATAAGAACTGCCCTAAAAGCCACATAGAAAAAACTATAAGAATACTATCAACAAGGATCCGTAAAAATCAATCGGTAGTCAGGAGGCATGATCTATTATTATTGATTTTTCTCCACGAGGATCAAAAGGACATCACTTGACTTTGACTCAGTGAAAATCATTGACTCATCTTAATCAAAACACGCCGGAGCACTTCTTGAGTCTTAGATTTAATGCACTGGTCTAATTGATTGAAGAGCTCTTCAATCAATTCGATGAACAGGCACATCACACAGAACCACATGTACAAGCTAATGGAACTCGAAGTTAGAATAACGCAATGAAAGGTCACGTTAAGGTTCCGCTTTCGACGAACATTCACCTACAGGATTCTCCAAGGACTGTTGACCGTCAACTGAACGTACAGCACAACTGTGCTGCATGCGCAATATGGTGTAGTAGCAACTTTCATTTTTTGTCTACGAGCCCTATTCTGCTCAAAACAATCTTTTGTTTTACCAGAAGCAATTACCTGGTTACTCTAAACCGCGGTGAGTCACGCTACCTCGTTGCATGTGTAAACCTTTCTCTGCAGGTCTCTTTCAATAAGCCATTGGTCACGCGTTGTCCGTCTTCTTGCGCGTTCAGAGTTACAGTCGTATTGCTCTTACACCTTATCCAGGAACGTTGAGGTGATTCACGTTTAGTTATCGTCAATAGCGCAAACTATCTAAAGTGGGGTTGAACTGAAGAGTTCCATGAAAATGAGGTCGATTATCTGAAAACTGAATACGCAAAACTTGCTTAACGATTTTTCACAAACAGTTTGAATATTATTAGTTAACTGCATGCAAATTTGATGACCATCTAAATCTGGATGCTCAGGTGACGGTCTGATCTTTTACCCTCCACCTTGACTGGGCGAACACTACCAGTTGATTCTAGCCCCCCATCTGAAATTGAGGTTAGCTGAGAAGTACGTTATTTCAAACGACATAAGGCTTGTAGCCCGACGGGTTGTCTCCATCGGATTTTAAGAATGGAGGTTGAGCCTCGGTTTTGGAGTTAACAAAAGTCTTAGGCTCGATGTGGGAAAGTGAAGAGGTTCCAACTGATTGTCTGCCGCATATGAACGATACACGAATGAGAACCAGGCTTGTTTTAGACCCGTCGAGGTTGTATCGACCACATCTTATTTCTCCACCAAATTGTGGAGCATCGACATACTTTTCGTAGATCCACCATCTCTGTCCACCTGAATTTGAAAGCGGCTTTCGAACCAGTTGACCGCTCTAAACTCTGACGCTGCCTTTCCCTGAAGGGTGTGCCCTGTAAGGCCATTTCAATTTTACGATCGCTTTCTACTAATAGCCGAAGCCGAGTCCTAGCTTACGGCACTTTTTCACCCGAGTTCACTACAGAAGGTGATGTTCGACAGGGTTTCCCTCTCCTTTTCTATATAACTTAGTCGTCAATTCAATTCTTGAAACAGCCTTGTCCTCGTGCGAGGATATTGGCATCAATTTGCTCCCAAATGGAAAACTGTCTAATCTAGAGTACTAAGTGAAGATCCAGGTAAGTTGAAAGCTGTTTTTTATAGTTTGAGTGCTAATATAGCCATATTTGTATGCGTTTTGCACCTTCAAAGTGCAACATGTTACTACAAGACTGGGTTGGTCTAGCACCCAGCCACACTCTAACTGAGGAAGTGATAGAGCAGGTGGATAAGTTTTGCCTTTTGGGTAACTACATCTCACCCGGCAGACGCATCACGAATCAAGTGTCTGCTAGTATCCAGAAGGCTCGCTTGGCATTTGCTAACTTGAGACATCTGTGGCGCTGTCGCGACATCCCGTTGTCTGTGAAAGGTTGAGTAAATACCGCGGCAGTTTGGCCAGTTTTGCTATACGACGCACAAACTTGGTCATTAAGAAAACAGGACAAAGATAGACTGTTAATGTTTGAACACCGCTGTCTACGTCACATTGCACGAATCTGGTGGAGTAGCCGAACGAGCAGTGTTGAGTTTAGGCGCAGATTTGTGGGTAAATGCGTTTGCCCACTAGAGCAAGTGGTCGACCTCCATAGATTAGGTTGGTTGGGGTATGTGTTACACATGTCATCAGATAGGTCGCAATGCCGAGGCGAGCAGTGGATGGAATAAAGCCAAGGGTGGTCAATCTAAGATCTAACATCAGGGTATGAGAACCCTGACCAGAGGAATGTTCCACATAGGTCATGTTAGGCTCCCTGGATGGGGACCTCGAGATTATCGTAACCGATGATTTGAGACACTTAGTGATATGGCTGAGCGTCGTAAACAGTAGCCCCAAGTAGCACAGTGTAACGCATCGGTTAGCTACAGGGAGGTAACTAATATCTAAATTAGCGAAATTTGTTATTATTCAGCATTGAACAATATTAACTATTGGATTGTATTGCATTTCAATGTACTTAATCATTTTACTTAAAAGTTGCACTTGTATAGTGATATATATATATATAGTGATATTTGTCCCCATTTTTTCACTTGAATTTTTAGTGGCTCCATTCGCATCCATTGTTCTGACTCTCGTCGCTAGTTTTATTTTTAAGCATGCAGAAACTCGCGTTTCTGCATTTTCTCAATTTCTTTGCAACCTTAGACCACTGAAAGTCTACACAACTCTACATTCAACTTTCTCGACTTCTCCTATTCTTCATCGAAATGGGCAGATAAAAGACAACAAC